AAAACACACTAAGCAAAATGCAAAAAAAAAAAAATATAAAAGGACAAAATCCAAAGCAAAAAGTGTTAAAGGAAATAAACAGAAATATTTAATCCTAATAAAAGGTGCAACTCCCCCAGGAGGCTATAATGGTGACAAATATGAACATGTGTGCACCTAACTGCATAGCCTGGAAATGTGTGAGGCCGAGATTGACAGAGATGCAAGAGAAACTGATCAGCTGCAGTCATTGTGGGAGGGTTTAAGCTAAAAGTGGGCAGATCATCCAGACAAAGATAAGGCCAAATAGACTGAGAGGAACCCAAAATTAGTCTCACAGTATGTGAGCTCTGTACCTATGCCTATAATAGTGCTAGAGGGAAATTATTAAAATATTAACGGATTGCTCTGGAGTTGGAAGACTAGACGTGTTCTTTTCTCTTTCTACTTTTCTGCATTTTTCCATAATGAACATTCACTTTTATAATGGAAAAGAAAAAAGTTCATGTCCAAAGAGAATGAGGGGCTACATCATAGCATCATGTATACAACATTCCGTAACATGTGCTGAACTGACTCATCTAGATGAGTCCACCAGCCGTGCACAGCTGTGGACAGGGGGAGAGCGTCTTCCTCACTCCACACCAGAGGAACACATGAGGGCCCCTTTCAGAGCTGGGCCAAATTTTCCTCTCAGGCAGGCCAGGGAGGGGATTTATAGGCTCAGGGGGATCCAGACATCTGTGCTTGAGTCTACCGGCAGTGCTAACCTTCCTGGTGAGAAGTAGACAGAGCGCCATGCAGTCGGGCTGTCCCTCCCCAATGTCCACAAATGCCGCCTTTGTGCTGAGGCCCAAGCCCCCAGCCCATATGGGCACAGGAAGCAAGAGAGAACAAATCCTGCAGTGTCTTGCTGCACTGTGGCTGCAAGGACCACTCACATGTGTGACTGGGCTTTTAACATTTTTGGAAGTGGCTGCCAGCCCAGAGCTCTCCTGATATCCTCATGGGCTAACCTGTGGTCTCCCGATGAGCCAGCGGAAGGACTGCTAAGTGTTCCAGCATTGATTAAAGCACTGTGTTTGGGCTTAAATCATCTCTTCTATAATTAAAGGAATACAATCTGAGAGACCTAAGTGAATATCCAAAGGGATCCATACGTCTCTAAGGTATCAGAAGCCAGGGAAAAGGAATACTACAACAGAGAACCAAGCTGCTCAATTACAGCCTGAGTCATTTTTGGAATAGAAAAGGCATAAATAATACACACACAGCGGTAAGGAATAGATGGCTCCTGAGAGGTTTTAGGCAGCCGATATACTCTTTGTTCCATTTCTCCCTTACTGGTAAGGGAACCAAGACTTAAACAAAATGGGAGAGGATGTGGAGTGAGTCCAATGAGCACCCCTATGAGGCCAGCTCTTCCCCTTCATCCTTAATGCTCTCAGGTCACAATTAATTAGTATCCAGCTGGGTGTTGTGGCTCACACCTGTAATCCCAGCACTTTGGGAGGTTGAGGTAGCAGATCACCTAAGGTCAGGACTTTGAGACCAGCCTGGCCAACATGGTGAATCCCCATCTCTACTAAAAATACAAAAATTAGGTGTGATGGTGGGCACCTGTAATCCCAGCTACTTGGGAGGCTGAGGCAGGAGAATTACTTGAACTCAGGAGGCACAGGTTGCAGTGAGCCGAGATCATGCCACTGCACTGCAGCCTGGGTGACAGAGCAAGACTCCAAACAAAATAAAAAATAAATTATCACCCTCTCTCATTTTAGCTGGCAAGGGAAACTATTATTGACATGCTAGGACTGGAAATAATGCCACAGAAGTTGCACTGTGGGCATCAGGGTGAATTACAGGAAGACCTGTGGGGACAAGCTGGCATTCTCCATGCTTTGCAGATCATTGTGCAAACATGGCAGCTAACTTTGCATATAACCTCAGGGGTATATTTCCATTCACTGACTCCCCCATATAACCTCAGGGGTATATTTCCATTCACTGACTCCCCCGCAAGAACACACTCAAACATAAGCACATTGCTCACTTCTCTCCATATCTATGTATATTACCGTTATGAATAACTCTTGTTTCTGCTGAGTTGTTTCTGGCCAATGTATAAAGCTTAGAGTAAGCTATTAATTGTGATATTTGAAAAAATTAAATTAAAAAATTATTTTGTACTTTTGAGAGGCTGAGGCAGGTGGATCACTTTAGGTTAGGAGTTTGAGACCAGCCTGACCAACATGGAGAAACTCCATCTCTACTAAAAATTCAAAAAAATTAGCCGAGTGTGGTGGCAGGTGCCTATAATCCCAGTTACTTGGGAGGCTGAGGCAGGAGAATTGCTTGAACCTGGGAAGCGGAGGTTTACAGTGAGCTGAGATCATGCCACTGCACTCCAGCCCAGGCAACAAGAACAAAATTCAGTTCAAAAAACAAAAATTATTTTGCCAAAAAGAATCTTTGAGGTTTCAAAAACCAATTTCTACATGTCAGATCCTCCCTTGGGTCTGGCTTTCTCATCTTGCTTGGTCTCAGTCTGCTGGATTTCAGACATGGCTTGATTTCTTTCTGTTCCAGTTCTCTAAGTCAATCCAAGTGTCCAAGGTGAGCAAATGTTTCCTGCACTGTTATCTGTGAAGGGTCCCCAGAAACAGAAAAAAAGGAATTTTGCCTGGGAAGCCAAAAGGAAGATTTTGAAGATAATGGATATTAAAGCAGCCAGGGCTGGGATATAGTAGGAGGCACAGACTGTGCTCTTCGTAAGCCTGGGAGCACAAACACAAAAAGCCTACAGACCAGGCAAGGCAATGACAGAGAGTAAAGGGCCAGGTGTTAGAAGGGCAACTGGGAGAGGTGGGAACATTTGTAGGTGACAGTTGGCTGGCTGCTTAGGTCTAGCTCATTACTGCCACATGGGATCACAGCACTGCCGCAAACCTACCAAAAGGCAATTCTATTATATCTGGAACATAGCAATATGAGGGCAGGAAGAAGAGCCTGATGCATGATGAGGGTTCACTCAACAGTTATTAAATGAATGAGGACCTTCCCGGGCATAGGGTAGACTGTCCTGTGATCCATAATGGGAAGAGATTGCTGGTACTGTAGAGGTCTCACAATCAAGGGAGGAAATGATTGCATTGAACTTGAGGCACAGCCATCGAGATGGAGAGGAAAGGGTGAAATGTAGTAGACAGGCTAAAGAATTTTTAAAAAGCAGTACTCAGCGAAAGACCAGATGTGCAGGACTAGGGCAGTGATGAATCTGTGCTCTTCTACCCTCTGCCTGTGATGAACTTGTCTACAGGGCTGAAGGACTGGTCACAAGGGAGAGAAGGTAAACACATCCTTCCATTCTTCTTCACTAGTTTCAAAGCCCTTCATGTTGCTCTCCCAGAAACCTTATTTTCTTTCCTCTGTTCTCCCACAAAAGGGATCAGGGGATTAACCAGGGATCCAGAGGCCCAAGCGCTGAGAGAAACAGATGCAAATTAAGTGATGAGGTATTCATTCAGGGGAAACTACAACAGAGTTAACAGAGATCAGGGCAGGGCAGGGGAAAATCACTGGAGAGGAAGGGCATCTACAGGAAAGTAGCAAGAACCACTTAGGCTATGTGAAGTCATGACATATTGGCCGTACGGTAGGGAGGCAAGGACAGAAAGGGCTAAGGGAGCACCCCAAATAGTTCTCAAGGCATGGATTTTCACAGCATGAGGTTCTGGTCCCCAGTTTTCTTAAAGACTCGGAAAGCATAGATAAAAAATATTGCCAAGCAAAAGTATTCAGGACAAATACAAGGCAGACTCAAGACTGCTGCTCAACTAAACCAGGTGAGTCTTTTCATGGCATACTTTTTGTGGGCTTCAGTCTAAAATAAAATTTGTATAATTATCAAATTGGGTCCAAGGCCTTGGATAAATCTCAGTGTTCACTTTAAAAGATACACTTCATCAACAGTTTAAGAACAACAACTACAACTACTTGTTAACTAAAAAACTATTATAGTAGCTAACATTTACTACTTAGTTAACTAATTCAAAGATTAATGATTGCTAACTAAGGGCCAAAGCATTATGCTAGGCCCTTTAAGGGCACTGTCCTGTAAATCTTTACAATGATTCCACAAAGGTTTGGTGGCATCATGGCAAATTTACCCATACGGAATAATAAAAGCAAGACCTATCTATAAGACTAAGTATGGAAAAAATTTAAAAAATTTAAAAAGTAAAAGCAAGACCTAGAGATGTTAAGTCACCTGCCCAAGGTGAGCCAAGGTTAGAAACAAGGTACTTCTACTCCGAGGTCTTTAGGTCCTCATTCTAAGCCAAGGGTCAGCAAATATTTTATGTAAAGGCCAGATGGTAAATATTTTTGGCTTTGTGGGCAACATGGTCTCTGTCACAACTACTCAATTATGCCATAGTAAAAAGCAGCTATAGACAATAAACAGATGGGCATGGCCATGTTCCAACCAAACTTTATTTATGGATACTGACATTTGAATTTCATGTAGTTTTCACGTGTCATGAAACAGCACCATTCTTTGAATTTTCCCCCAAGAATTTGAAAAGTAAAAATCAGGCTTAGCTTGTGAGACATAAAAAAACAGGTGGTGAACTGGAATTTCTCCACAAAATGCAGTTTGCCGACCCTGGTCAAAGCCACTAGGCTCTGTTGCCTGCCAGCTAACATCCTGTGCTGGTTTCGGCAGGAGGCCCATAGATATTTAATGAAAAATCCTGTGAGAGTACGTCTGGATGGGGCACATAACTCTGAAATATAATTGTGAGGAAAGGCCCAACTGCAGTAGCTCTGGCTTTGTATCACCTTTGACTGCAACTTAAAAACACCTTTCTTCCTGCAAGACCCCTCACTTGAGCTCTTCTATGGAAATAAGCATTGATTTAGGTCACTCTGAAACCAGAGGAAATTCTGGGTAGTATGGGGATGTTCCCTCCCGTACACCATGATTTTCTGTGACCATAGGCCCCGTGTGCCCTTCTTACCTGCAGGGTTTGACCAAAGCGCTTTAACGGTGTGGCCTTCACGGGCGGGATGAGGTTTGCTAGTGACGTGACTCTTGAAAGGGGTTTGACCCGTTTATTACTAGGCTCCTACAGGGTTAAAAAAAAAAAAAAAAGGTAAAATGTCAAGGTCAATTGCAAAGACAACATAACTCCACCATACAACTGTGTTCCACTCTATGAGGTGCTGGCTGTACACTGATCTATGGAGTATAAACCCTATCACATCTCACTCTGGCTGTACGGAGATGACCTGGCTTAGGAGGCAGGGAAGGAAAAATGGCAAGCAGGGGATGTCAACAGAGGCAGCATCTGGGAGGACAGAAAAGGGGATCTGCTTCTTATGCCTCACCCGCAGTATCTGCCAGCTCTAAATTCAGAAGCTTCCACTTAGTAGAACCAGTCTCTCCATCCCTTTTGTAGAGAAAAGCAGCCTCTGATTTCTCACCCAATGACCTTGTCTTTTGCGGCTCTGGTTTCATCTTTTTAAAAGCCTTTTCCCCACCTTGCCTAAAGCCACGCTTATGCAATGGCTTTCCTAAAGCACCAAAATTGTTTTCTTAGTTCACTAAATTAAAAATATTTAAAAAATAATAAGTTCTATTATTGGGCTATTAAGAAAGCATCTTTGTATCTACAGTATATTCGAAACACACATATTAATATTTATAAATTATAATCAGACAGCAAAAGAAAATGTATAGAGAAAAAGCCCTAACACAGACATCGGTTTCTATACTAATATAGCCACAAGTTTTAAAAATCATCTCCATATAAACCATTATTTGCAAACCTGCAAGTTACTTCAAACCAGGCTGATAGGTGGGAGGGAGCCTACCCATTCCAAGGACTTTGCAGACAAGAATTACATAAACAAAAACACAGGCTGGCTGAGTGGGGTGGTTCATGCCTGTAATCCCAGCACTTGGGGAGGCCGAGGTGGGTGGATCATGAGGTCAGGAGTTCAAGACCAGCCTAGCCAGGATGGTGAAACCCCATCTCTACTAAAAATACAAAAATTAGCCAGGCATGGCAGTTGCCTGTAATATCAGCTACTCAGGAGGCTGAGGCAGAGAACTGCTTGAACTCAGGAGACGGAGGCTGTAGTGAGCCAAGATCGTGCCATGTACTCTAGTCTGGGTGACAGAGGGAGACTCCATCACAACAAAACAAAGCAAAACAAAAAACAGGCTATGGGAAAGAGAATGATGACAGACAAAACATTTTACAAAGACAAAGAGAACAGTTACCCTTGTCCTTCTAAGCTCCATCTGACCTGTAGTAGATGCTGGACAGCACATGAAGACACCAAATTTTGACAGACAAAGCCAAAGTAGCCAATTGCGGTGGCAAATCTCAATCATTTCCAGAGAGAGCCTCTAGGTATTCATCTTTCCTTTTCAGCCATTGCTTTCAAAGTTTCGAGGGTTAAGCCCGAACTTCAGATTCTCCAGGACATCTCTGCATCCCTGTTCTGAACATAGTAGGTACTTGGAAAAATCTTTCATGAATTTGGAATCCTGCTGAGAAACTCTCATGTCATTTTATGCCCTTGCCAGTCTCAGAAATCAAAAGCCTTCTTTGAAATAGACTGTCTTCAAGCTTTCTGGCATTTACATACAAAAATTTAAAAAACTAAAAAAAAAATTCAATACAATCCCACAATGTGGCCAGGAATGATTTCACAATTTCTCAAACTAGTCAAATATTTTTCCAAGACAGAGAATGCAACCAGCCTGCTGGGTACCTCTCCGGCTTCTTAGCATGCTAAGCTGAACAGACAGCAGAAAACTCTCAGAACACTAGGAAGGCTCAGTTCCAAAATGCAGAGGATGAATCTCCCAAGATGAGAGCCATTCCATGACAATGATTTAACTGCGGAAGGGAAAGATCTGACAGCTCTTCTGCTTCGGGTGACGATGCCCTTCAGGATGCTCCCTGTCCAGTGCCAGGCTCTTGAGCATTTGTGCCCAGAGGAGGGTTGAAAACACTTTTTTACGTCAGAGCTGCACCACTGGCGTACGGAATACACGCACACATACGTACGCATGCACGCACACGCGCGCACACACACACACCCCCGGCCTCTTCAGCATCCCCTGAATTTGTCTAAATGGCTCCTGCTTTGGGCTGAAAATGCCAGATTGGTGGCACAAACTGCATTATAGCAAGTGAGGTGACAAGGATTCCCTGAGGAAGCAGGACCTGGTCTCAAAGAATCCTGCTGACAGACTCTGAGTCTTCCTCTTTCACTCTCTTTTTTTTATGGTTAAAGCTGATGGGTCACAGATTTTTGTAATCAGAATGGGGAGGTTGAAAGGCAAATGCCTGGGTTCTCTTGTTTTAAAAAAGGGGCCAGAGAGCACTGCACACTTGGCAGGATGGGGGATGATCTAGCTGTGTTCCACTTGCTGTGTCATCTTTTCTAAGTTTCTGCTGACTTTGCTGTCCATTTTACATGACCCAGTCAGACAGGCATTTTCTGCACAGCTACAAGATGGGTGTACAACACAAATGCCAGCCTCTCTGCAGGTTGAGTGTAGTGCTGCTATGTGAGATTGTAATTAAAACTGATTTCCTAAGTCATTGCTGATTTGGATGTAAACATCAGGCTGCTCTCCGGCAATCTGACATTCCCAAGTAACGAACAATTGAACCGGAAGCCGTTGCTATGTGATTTAGTGCTATGATCCAGCAATGTAAGCAGGTGCAATTTCAAAACCAGAACACTTACAGGTTATTGGATCTACAGGGGAGGCTTTATGCCTAACCCACATGAGTAAAGTATAAATTATAGTGTTCTCCTTGAGGGTTTCTGAGAGAATAGGAGATTAAAAAAATTCCTGGCCTCATATGATTTTTCTTTTCCATTTACTCAGTGTGTCTCCAGCTACATTTTACTGCTGTCTAAAGAGAGCCCTCAGGGAAAATGTTTCCAGATTCTTGTTAAATAGCTCTCCTGAGAACTAGCAAATGCAGATGTTTTCAGGCTTTACCGAGAGCTAACAGAACACAACCTGCAGAGACGCTTCCTAGTCCAGCAACTCAGCTGCCGGACCAAGCTGGGCAAGGTCAATGCTAAACCCAAGAACAAAGTGTCTTGTTTCAAGTGCAGACACCACCCTCTACCACTTGATTTTAAAACAGGGCACTTTGGGAGGCCAAGGCAGACAGATTGCCTAAGCTTAGGAATTCGAGACCAGCCTGGGCAACATGGTGAAACTCCATCTCTACTAAAATACAGAAAATTAGCCAGGCATGACAGCAAGTGCCTGTAGTCCCAGCTACTCCAGAGGCAGGAGAATTGATTCAACTCAGGAGGCAGAGGTTACAGTGAGCCCAGATGGTATCACTGAAATCTAGCCTGGGTGACAAAGCGAGACTCCATCTCAAAAAAAAAAAAGAAAAAGATAGGGCAGGAGGGTATCTCAGTAAAGTTTAAAAAAAAAGAAAAGAAAAAAGGCACTGAGCGTTCTGCATAGACAGTATTTTGTGAATAACAACAATTTTGTTTCATCTTTTTCAGGCCTTATAACTTTTCATTTCTCTTGTCTTATTGCACTGGATAGAACCACCTATATACTGTTGATTGCAAGCCTCGTGGGTATACGAGTTTAATTCTTGGTTCTAAAGTGGTTATTAATAAGATTTCATCATTAAATATTTGCTAAGAACAGGGGAGAGGCACCCTTTATCAAGTAAAAAAAGTTCCTTTCTCTACCAACTTTGCTATAAATTTTTATCATGAATTGGCAGTGGCTTTTATCAAATGTTTGTTCTTCATTTAGAGGACAAGTTAAAAAAAGGGAAGGGAAGAAAAGAAGGGAGGGGTGGAAAGAAGAAAAGGAGAGAATAAAGAAAGGCATACAGGTCATTTTTTTCATAAAGAAATTGATTTAGTTATTGAAAAATATGTCTTGCATTTAATTACAAACAAAGGAGAATAAAACACTCCATGCAATTTTATTCTTAATATGAGGTTTTTTTTTTTTTATTAAATGGATTTTGATATTCCTTCTCTAGGGGATACAATTATTTTTATTCTCTCCTCATTCTTCCCCTCAACAGTTAAAAGCCAAAGCAGATTGTATGCAATGTAAGAAAATGCCTATTTTATCAATATAATCTTGCATACTTTTTCATTCCTTCAAAAATAGTTCCATTGAAACAGACATGGCATACAGGAACTCCCCACTCATTTTCCCTGCACTTCCTTTTTGCAGCCAGAGTGGGGTGGGGAATAGTAGGAATATCAACCACATCATGTCTGTAGTTGCCCCTATTGAGCCTCAAACATGGTCCAGGAGAGGCTGGTAGAGGACTCAGGCTGCTCTACTACAGGGCAGTGCGGCTCTCAGCTGCTTTACAAATGGCCAGGAGCTAGAGAGAGGTGAGAATTGATTGTGCTAGCAGATACTCTTGCCTGTGAGTTAATGGAGCCAAATAAAAAAATCTTTCAAATGTTTGAAAATTCCAGGAAAGTCTTTTCAGAGTTCTATCTGTGTGCCAGGCAGTATGTGGAAACTGCACTTCCAAGGGTAGCGTTTAATCCACGCGGGAACCTGCTAGGAGGCTTTCACTGTCCTCAAGTTAAATAGGAAGTTACAATCTTAACAGTGACTGAGAAACGCTAGCATAGACAATAATAACGAGCTAATCCTGGTAGCAGGAACTCAGCTCAGTGCTTTACATACAGTTGCAAATTTAATCCTACTCACATCCTTACAAAGTGAACTACTATTACGAAACTAAGGCTTGCAGTACAGCAATTTGCTCAAAACCATTCAGCTAATACAAGGGGACCAGGATGTAAACCCAGTCAGGCTGACTCCAAAGCCCATGCCCTACATCAGGGCCTAACTTTTTCTGTAAGGGGCTACCCAGCCTCTGTCATGACTACTCATTTCTGCTGTCAAACACAAACAATCTGTAAATAAATGAATGTGGCTATATCCTTTTAAACATTTATTTATTAATACTAAAATTTAAATTTCATAGTTTTCATGTCACAAAATATTCTTTGAGACAGAGTCTTGCTCTGTCACTCAGGCTAGTGTGCAGTGGCATGATCACAACTCATTACAGCCTCAACCTCCTGGGCTCAAGCGGATCCTTCCACCTCAGCCTCTCAAGAAGCTGGGGCTACAGGTGCTCACCACTATGCCTGGCTAAATTTTCCAAAATTTTTTAGAGAAGGGGTCTTGTCATGTTTCCCAGACTGGTCTCAAACTCCTGGGCTCAAGCAATTCTCCTGCCTTGGCTTCCCAAAGTACTGAGGATTACAGGCATGAGCCACTATGCCCCGCTTACAAAATATTATTCTTCTGATATTTTTCAATCATTACAACATGTAGGTGCTATTCTTAGCTTGAGGTCCATAAGAAGTCAGCTGTATTCAGTCTTCAGGCCGTAGTCTGCTGACTGTAGTTTGCTGACTGGTCATGTCCCTGGTCAGTGGTCCTCAGTCTCATATTTTCTACTGTAACGTACCCCAACACAACACTCCCAGGCACTGCACTCCCCCACAGGCACACCTAGTCATCGTCAGGCTCCAGCAGATGGCACAAGCTTGATCTGCATATTCTCCCTGCAGCTGGACATGTAGGGTCTTCCCCTGGTAAGTGGGGGGAAACACTTGACTTACTTTTTATGTGAGTAAACCCTATTTTATTGCATTTTATTCTCTTAACTTTCTAAACACAATGCCAACTTTCCTTGACCATTTTAATATATATATGAACTAAGGACATAAGAAAAATGGCATGATGTGTGGGATCTACTTCAAAATGATGACATTGGAGAAAGAGGAAAACAGGACTGGTCACAGGTTAGTAGTTGTCAAAGCTAGGTGCTGGGCACAGGTACATGACAAAATACATGTCAAATGGTACATGTATTTGGTACATGGCTGCCTATGGTACATGTCAAAAAGTTCTTTTCTTTAATGGACACAAAATTGTTTTCCAAGTGTGCCAGTGAATGCTGAACCAGAGTAGACCAGTGCCATCTGTGAATTTTTTTTTAATTTTTAATTTAATTTCTTTTTTTTATTGCATTTTCGGTTTTGGGGTACATGTGAAGAACATGCAAGATTGTTGCATAGGTACACACGTGGCAGTGTGATTTGCTGCCTTCCTCCCCTTCACCTATCTGGCATTTCTCCCCATGCTATCTCTCCCCAACTCCCCACCCCCCACTGTCCCTCCCCTATTTCCCCCTGACAGACACCAGTGTGTGATGCTCCCCTCCCTGTGTCCACGTGTTCTCTTTGTTCAACACCTGCCTATGTGCAAGAACATGCGGTGTTTGATTTTCTGTTCTTGTGTCAGTTTGCTAAGAATGATGGTTTCCAGGTTCATCCATGTCCCTATAAAGGAAACGAAACCTGACAAAAACAAGCAATGGGGAAAGGATTCCCTGTTTAATAAATGGTGTTGGGAAAACTGGCTAGCCATGTGCAGAAAGCAGAAACTGGACCCCTTCCTGACACCTTACATTAAAATTAACTCCAGATGGATTAAAGACTTAAACATAAGACCTAACACCATAAAAACCCTAGAAGAAAATCTAGGCAAAACCATTCAGAACATAGGCGTAGGCAAGGACTTCATGACCAAAACACCAAAAGCATTGGCAACAAAAGCCAAAATAGACAAATGGGACCTAATCAAACTCCACAGCTTCTGCACAGCAAAAGAAACAGTCATTAGAGTGAATAGGCAACCAACAGAATGGGAAAAAATTTTTGCAGTCTGCCCATCTGACAAAGGGCTGATATCCAGAATTTACAAAGAACTAAAACATATTTACAAGAAAAAAAAAAAAAACAAGCCCATTCAAAAGTGGGTGAAGGATATGAACAGACACTTTACAAAAGAAGACATGCATGAGGCCAACAAACATATGAAAAAAATGCTCATCACTGGTGATTAGAGAAATGCAAATCAAAACTACATTGAGATACCATCTCACACCAGTTAGAATAGTGATCATAAACAAATCTGGAGACAACAGATGCTGGAGAGGATGTGGAGAAATAGGAACACTTTTACACT